ACATTTGTTGCATCATTACTTTCTCAATTTCAAGGTGCATTGAGGAGGCAGAAACATTCCTTAAAGAGATGCCATCCACAATAGCAGGTTAAATGTAGTTAATACAACCTTAAATTAGCTTTTCTAAGAGTACAGGAAAATACTTATATATGGTTTGTTGTAGAGCACAGGTAATGTGAAAATTACCAGTGCAATGCCACAAAAAAGCCTTATCAGAAGTACAGTTGCTTCCTGATTATGTACATCAGTGGAGGGGAATATTGGTATAGATAACAGAAAACCATAGCTAATTTATCTACTTGAATTCTCAAAGCCATGAGCCACTGCAATGCTGGAAGACTATGCAAATAGAATCCCAGACTTTATGTTAATAAGCCACAGCATAGCAAACCTGAGGGCAAGAGTCTCTGAATGTAGATGTCTAAGAAGAAATATTCAGTATTACCCTGAAATGAGCATTCTATATATCAAGTCCCAGTGTTATCTCTTTGAAATCTGAGGCTTTTCATTTTTATTTTTAAAAACACATTTGGGATAAGATGTTTCTAAAGAAATTGTTAATTGCACTTAATCTCAGTAAGTTCGGCCTCAGGATTATTAGAGGAGAACTTAAAATGTCATGTTAATGACATCTCTTGAACTTCATCACATTAAGATCCATTTGGCATCTTGAGCTTCTTAGTAGAGCCTAAACTGGTCTCTGTGTTTTAGTTTTTTCCTCATATGTAAACTTTATTTCATTTAATTTTATTTAAATGAGAAAGGGTCCCAATGTGTTGCCCAGGCTGGCCTCAAACTCCTGGGCTCAAGGGATCCTCCTGCCTCAGCCTCCTGAGTAGCTGGGACTATAGGCACTCACCATCACACCCAGCTTACTTGTCTGTTTATCTTTTTCTTCTTAACCCTAGAGTTGAGTTTAAGAGATTGGAACACAGTACTATACCTCCACAGGCACTTTGGAAAGAAAATTAGTTAACCACATTCAGTCAGTTTTATAATCGTATAATCAGAATTCCTAAAATAAATAATTCCCATAACTCAATTAGCTGGGAAATATTTATGGCTAATTTATTTATGGCTGCATCACCTGAGGAAACTTACCAGTCTTCTTCACCAGTGATTTTATTTGAGCCACTGAAACAAATATTAAAGGTTCCAAGAATGTGTTGAAAAGGAATATGCTAAGAAACAAGTGCTTGAGATGACAAGGAAAGACAGAAACCATTGTGTGGCTGTTACTAAGATTCGAAGGAGTTGGCATCTTTTGGTTATTTCAGTTTTTTTGAGTTGGAGTCTCACTCTGTCGCCCAGACTAGAGTGCAGTGGCACGCTCCCGGCCACCGCAGCCTCAACCTGCTGGGCTCCAGCGATCCTTCCCAGCCACCGCAGCCTCAACCTGCTGGGCTCCAGCGATCCTTCCGCTTCAGCCTTCCAGAATTACAGGCACGCACTACCACACCCAGCTAACTTTTGATTTATTGTATAGATGAGGTCTTGCCAAGTTGCCCGGGCCAGTCTCAAACCCGCGGGCTCAAGCAGTACACTCACCTCACCCTCCCAAAGCGCTGGGATTACAGGCTGAGCTACTGAGCCCAGCCAGTTTAATTCACTCTATAAGGACTTAAAATTCTGTCAACTTGGATGAAGTGTCCATCTTTTCTCTCTCTTTTTTTTTTTTGAGTTGGAGTCTCACTCTGTCACCCAGACTGGAGTGTAGTGGCACACTCACAGCCACCCCAGCATTGACCTGCTGGGTTCCAGTGATATTCCGCCCTAGCCTTCCAAGTAGCCGGAACTACAGGAGTGCGCTACCACGCCCAGCTAATTTTTGGTTTATTGTAGAGACGAGGTCTTGCCAAGTTGCCCGGGTGGGTCTTGAACCCACAGGCTCAGGCAATCCACTCGCCTTGGCCTCCCAAAGTGCTGGGATTACAGGCTGAGCCACCGAGCCCAGCCCGTCTTTTATCTTAATGGATGGTCCATGGATATATCATCTCATCTAATTCTTGCCTTAAGAAGATTGGGCGCAGGCCGGTCATGGTGGCTCAAGCCTGTAATCTCAGCACTTTGGGAGGCCAAGGTGAGGGTATTGCCTGAGCCCACGGGTTCAAAAATGGCCTGGGCAACTTGGCAAGACCTCATCTCTATAATAAATCAAAAATTAGTCCGGCGTGGTAGTGCACACCTGTAATTTCGGCTACTTGGAAGGCTGAGGCGGAAGGATCACTGGAACCCAGCAGGTCAATGCTGGGGTGGCTGTGAGTGTGCCAATACACTCCAGTCTGGGTGACAGAGTGAGATTCCAATAAAAAAAAAAGATGGGGAGCTTCATGTCGTACCTTGTAATTTTATGTGTCTGGAAATAAACTTGGCCAGTTCTTGCAGACTTTTAAAATTTGCTTTTATGGGCCGAGTGCAGTGACTCACTCCTGTAGTCCCAGCACTTTGGGAGGCTGAGGCAGGAGGATCACTTGAAGCTAGGAGTTCGAGACCACCCTGGACAACAAAGTGAGACCGTCTTCTGTACAAAAAATAGAAAAATTAGCCAAGTGTAATGATGTGTGCCTGTAGTCCTAGCTACTCAGGAGGCTGAGGCAGAAGGATCATTTCAGCCCAGAAGGTCAAGGCTACGATGAGCCATAATTGTGCCACTGCACTCCAGCCCGGGTGACAGAGTGAAACCCTGACTCAAAAAAAGTTTTATTTTTTACCTTTGCCTTGCCATAATCAGTGACATGCCATTCTCTTTGCCATCTTCTCATATATCATTTCTGGAATAGGACTGGTAAGTTGTGGGTTGAGACTTAGAGAAGTCAGGAGCATCTGTTGATGTTTATTGCCTGGATAGCAGTAAGGTCTCTTCAGTTCTCCTTGATTATTCTCAGTCTGAGTAGGTTTCTCTCTTTATAAAGCAAGTGATAGTTTAGCCAAAAGGGAAGAGAGTCTGCTGCAACTTCCTAGTTAGTAGTAACATTAAAGGCATGCCTGTGTGTGTATGCTGTTGTTATAAGCCTTTTTTTTTATTTCCAATAATTATATCCAAATGGCGGTGATGAGCAAAAGGCTATATTTGAAAAATATAGATTACTCCATTCTTAAGAAAAAGGCCTTCTCTTCAGAGACATCAGGTTGTCTCATGATTTGCGATAATCAATTTGATAATTGTTGTTGACTTACTGGCTCAGCTCATGAATAATGTCCCAGTTTGAGACAAGGATGGCAAAAGGATTTTAATCAGGTAGTACTTTCTTTCCCATGGAGCATTTGTCTTGCTTGACTGTTTTGGACTTCAGCCAACTTCATTGTTCTTGCTGTAGACATGTAGCAAAATGCATGTTGCTTCAGTGTTCAGTGGGGAGGTTTCCAACCCACTGAAGATCATTGTTACCTTTTACACTGTGCCATTCGAGACAGTGAGAATGGATGACTGTCTCTCTTTTTCACTGAGAATCTGTTTGATGGGAAGGATGAATCTCATTACTATAAATATTGTTTTCATCCAGCTTACCTCACTGCTTCCGAATAAGAGGGGCTCCTCTGGCTTCTGTGGAAGCTCTTGAAATACTTGATGACTTGTTAAATTTTCATTATTTAACGTGCATTAATTTAGATATAATAACTCTGTTGCTAGGAGAAGAGTTGGGAAGGAAGAGCTTGACTGAGTGCAGACTGCTTGTGTCACAGAAGTCAGAAAAGTGTGCAGAACTTGCTGTCCTCAAAGAGAGTTTACAGTTCTGCTGACTGGGCTGAAGACCTGAAATTCTGACAGCCAGAGACTTAGTTCCCCAGCATATGCGATATGATCTTCTGATGCTTGCTTACCCTATCATCTGTTTAATTAGCTTGCGAGACTGAAAGGGCTTGAAGGCCCTTGACTCCTATGTAGCTGAGAGTTCTGAGGTTTGAAATGTCCATTATTTGGTATTCTGGAGGGTGGAATGCATGGACTTGGTGTTGCTGCATTAAAAAAGTTTGAAAAGTGCTACGCCATTTTGTGTGTTTGTATCACTTCTGAAATTCTTATTGCTAATGTGTAGTGGTCCTTGTCTCTATGGAGCACATCCCGCTGCTATAGATTTCCCAGGTAGGAACAGTATGCCCCAGGTATCATTTCATCCCCAAAATGCACATAGAGCAACACTTGCTATACTAGTGCCCCAAGAGGTCTAGCTTCTCCTCAAGGTTAAGGAACAATGAGCTCTGAGTCTTATGTAACCCATTTAAGATTGCAAATAAACTACTTTTGGTTTCCTGGGAAAGGGTTTCAGGGGCTGTGTGACACAGCCCGTGCTTCACTTTTTCTTTTTTAATGAAAATTAAAGGTTAAATTAACCTGCATAGAGGGTTACTTCTGGTCTTCTGACTTCAATTTTTTAAAAAAAGGAAGATGAGGCACTTCTTCCTGCCCCAGAGAAGGTGTGAACATCTCATTTTCCAAACACCCTCCTGAGTACTTAGTAACTGAACAGAGGAAGGCATCAAGTTAATGAGAATGTTCCGGAATTTTTTTTTTTTTTTTAGTTGGAGTCTCACTCTGTCACCCAGGCTGGAGTGCAGTGGCACACTCACAACCAACTAGCGTCAACCTGCTGGGCTCTGGCGATTCTTCCGCTTCAGCTTTCCAAATAGCCAGAACTACAGGCATGCACTACCATGCCTGGCTAATTTTTGCTTTATTATAGAGACAAGGTCTTGCCAAGTTGCCTGGGTTGGTCTTGAACCTGCAGGTTCAGGCAGTCCACTTGCCTCGACCTCCCAAAGTGCTGGGATTACAGGCTGAGCCACTGAGTCTGGCCCAGAATTTTTGATGAACTATATAACTTCTATTGAAGTCACAGGGGTATCAGATCTATGTCATGATTTCAGAAATGTCGGATTTTATAGGGTTGTTTTATAGGCTTCCTGTGGTCTGCCAAACTTTTTCTCCTAGATCAGAGAGGAAGAAAGGGTACTGAAGGTCCATTACTTTTCAATGCTTTTTTTCTTCCTTTCTCCATCAGGATACCCAGAAAGCAAAGCAGTTTCTGCCCTTTCTTCAGCGGGCTGGTCGTTCAGAAGCTGTAGTGGAATACGTCTTCAGTGGTTCTCGTCTCAAACTCTATTTGCCAAAGGAAACTTGCCTTATCACCTTCTTGCTTGCAGGTAAGTTATGTGGGTTACGTGTTCAGAAGCCCTCCCTGCAGGCTATGTACATCCTCCTTTCCCTGCATGCTAGATGGGTCCCAGAGCACACCGGTGCTTTCATCTCTGGTTGGGATATTCACATGCAGTTTCTAGATTGGTTCCTCCTGTCACTGCTGACCCAGCCCTGCACTTCTTTTTGCTCCTCATTTCCACTAAATGCGGGATACAGGAGTAGAGCAGCTTAAAAGACAGCACGTGACCTTACACAGCTTGAGTGAAGGGAATTCCAGACCTTGAAAAATAGCAGTGATAGAATTCTCAGTGTTGACATTACCCACTTGAGATAGGCAGGCCTCAGAAGAGCCGAAGCACCTGCGTTGAAGCTCTCCAGACAGTGCTATTTGTCTCTTATTGTTTTCAGATGTCATTAGGATCCTAGGCTTTTATGAAACCCCAGCCGTAACTTGGCTTTCACAGGCTCCTGCATCTATACTATTTGTTGTTGCTCTGAGGTTGACATGCTAAGGCAGGCCTTGCTCCTTTCTTTGCTGACTGAATGTACATCTTATCCCATATTTTCTGGTAGCTTAATATTTCACAAGCCAACAAGGCTGTGTATAAACTCTTTTTTTAAAGCAATTTACATTTATGCATTCAAGGTGCAAACCGCTTCACTTCTTGCTTCTGGCAAGTAATAGCTACTTATTTCCAGTCAGTACTTCTCAGAAACTGTGGTCTTTGAGGGAAAGCTGTCATTTCAGCCAGACTCCGTGCCTCAACCTGTAATCCCAGCACTTGGGAGGCCAAGGCAAGTAGATTGCCTGAGTCTGCAGGTTCGAAACCAGCCCAGGCAATTTGGTGAGACCGTGTCTCTACAATAAATAAAAAATTAGCTGGGTGTGATAGCGCGTGCCTGTAGTTCTGGCTACTTGGAAGGCTGAGGCGGAAGGATCACCAGAACCCAGCAGATCGACATTGGGGTGGCCGTGGGCGTGCCACTGCAGTGCCTGGGTGACGGAGTGAGACTCCAACTCAGAAATAAAAAATAAAAGCTATCATTTTACTTCCATATCCCACAGCCACTCCTGCATACACAAACATGCCTTTGCAAAGGAGCTATTCCATTGTGGTCCCCAGATGCACCTTGCCTTTTCTGTTGCTGTCCTGTTGCCTCAGCACGATTCTGGGATAGTACTTGCTATGGGGAAAGAGAAACGGGAGCCATGCTTACTATCTCCTGCCAGATTGCCTTGGCTCCTTTTCCTAGAAGGCACCGGTAGTTTCTTGTCTGGATAAGGGTCTCCCTCAGGCCCCAACTAAATGGATTGAGTTATGTGAGATAAATCACTCCCTGAACACGTGACCATGAAGCTCACTGCTGTGGCTTGGCTGTCACTTCTCATTGAGGCCCTCTTGCACATTCTTATGAACTTGATCACTGCACAGCTCTGCAGGCTTTCTGAAGGGACTAATTGAAGTGTGACACCAAGCTCAGGGGCAGCTGTAGAAAAGAAGGACTGCAGCAAATCCACACCTTCCTGGAGAGCTCTTCTTGTGTTTCTGAGAATGTGAGTTGAGTTAAACCGAGGGGAGTGTAGCAGTGTGAGAGAGTCCTGTCATGGAATCACTTGTGCCCTTTTCCTAAGGTTTCTGTACCTGAAAAGTGTTCTTGCTGTGAATTCTTGTTGTTATAGAGGTTGAGGTACAGCATACCTAGTTTGATTGCGTTTAGCTTCTTTCCACTTCATAGATACTGTGGTTTTTAGAGAGGTTTGTGGTGACCCTGTATCGAGCAAGTCTCTTGACACCATTTTTCAAACAGCAAGTGCTACTTTACTTTGTGTCTCTGTGGTACATTTTGGTAATTCTGACAATATTTCAAACTTCACTATTATTCTACCTATTGTGATCAGTGCTTTTTGATGTTACTGTTGTAATTATTTCGGGTCACCACAAACTACAGCCATGTAAGATGGCAGACCTAATCAATAAATGTATGTGTTCTGACTGCTCCACCAACCAAATGATAAGAAAGCAAAACAAAGCCAGATGCAGTGGCACATACCTGTTGTCCTAGCTACTTGGGAAAATCACTTCAGCAGAGGCGTTAGAGACCAGCCTGGGCAACATAGCAAGACCCTATCTCAAAAGACAAAGAAAAGCAACCTAATTGCTGATATGGAGGAAATTTTAGTAGTCTGTATAGAAACTCAAACCAGCCACAACATTCCCTTAAGCCAAACCCTACTCCAGACCAAGCCCCTAACTAACTCTCCTCACTTCTGTGAAGGCTGAGAGGTAAGAAAGCTTCAGAAGAAAAGTTTGAAGCTAGCAGAAGTGGTTTTATGAAGTTTAAGGGAAAAGACTGTCTCCATAACATGAAAGTACAAGGCGAAGCAGCAAGTGCTGACGTAGAGGCTACAGCAAGTCTTCCAGAGGATCTAGCTTAAATCATTGGTAATGGTGTCTACACTAAACAACAGATGTTCAGTGTAGATGAAACAGCCTTCGATTGGGAGAAGATGCCACTTAAGACTTTCAGCATTAAGAGAAGTTAATGCCTGACTTCAAAGTTTCATAGAACAGGTTGACTCTCTTTTTAGGGCCTCTTGCAGCTATGACTCTTAAGAGTGATCCTAAATCTACCCTGCCTTTACTCTATAAATGGAACAAGAAAGCCTGGATGACAGCACATCTGTTTACAGCATGGTTTATGGAATTTTTTTTTTTTTTTTTTTGAGTTGGAGTCTCACTCTGTCGCCCAGACTGGAATGCATTGCCGCAGCTTCGACCTGCTGGGCTCCGGCTATCCTTCCGCCTCAGCCTTCCAAGTAGCTGGAACTACAGACGCGTGCTACCACACCCAGCTAATTTTTTATTTATTGTAGAGATGAGGGCTCACCAAGTTGCCCAGGCAGGTCTCGAACCCGCAGGCTCAGGCAATCCACTCACCTCGGCCTCCCAAAGTGCTGGGATTACAGGCTGAGCCACTGAGCCCGGCCGGTTTATGGAATATTTTAAGCCCACCGTTGAGACCTACAGCTTAGGGGAAAAAAGGTTTTTTTTTTAAAATGCTACTGCTCATTGACAATGCATCTGGTCTCCCAAGAGCACTAATAGAGCTGTACAAGGAGATTATTGTTGTTTTCATGTCTGCTAAGACAACATCCATTCTGCCGTCTATGGATCAGGGTGTGATTTCTACTTTCAAGTCTTCTTATTTAAAAAATACATTTTGTAAAACTAAACCTGCTATAAGAGTGATTCTTCTGATGGATCTGAAAAGTACATTGAAAACCTTCTGGAATGAATTTACCATTCTAGCTGCTATTAAGAACATTTATGATTCATGGGAGGAAGTCAAAATAGCAACATTAACAGGAGTTTGGAGGAAATTGATTCCAACCCTCAGGGATGACTTAGAGGGGTTCACTACTTCAGTAGAGGAAGTAACTGCAGCTGTGGTGGAAAGAGCAAATGAACTAGAATTAGAAGTGGAGCCTGAAGATGTGACTGAATTGCTACAATCTCATGTTGAAACTTGAACAGATGAGGAGTTTCTTCTTAAGGATGAGCAAAGAAAGTGATTTTTTTAAAAGATGGAATCTCCTCCTGGTGAAAATGCTGTGAACATTTTGAATTGACAACCAAGGATTTAGAATATTTCATAAACTTAGTTGATAAAGCAGCAGCAGGGTTTGAGAGGATCAACTCCAATTTTGAAAGAAGTTCTTTTATGGGTAAAATGCTGTCAGAAGCGTCGCATGCCAGAGAGAAATCTTTCGGGAAAGGAAGAGTCGATCAATGCAGCAAATTCATTGTTTTATTATTTTAAGACATTGCCACAGCCACCACCCTGCTCGGCCATCAATATTGACACGGGACCTGCCACCACTGAAGGTCTCATTGAAGGTGCAGATGATCATTAGTGTTTTTGTGCAATAAGCCTTTCCGTTGGGGTTTTTTTGAGTTGGAGTCTTGCTCTGTCGCCCAGGCTGGAGTGCCGTGGCACACTCACAGCCCTTCCAGTGTCGACCGGCTGGGCTCCAGCAATCCTTCTGCCTCAGCCCTCCAAGTAGCTGGAACTATAGGCACATGCTACCATGCCTGGTTAATTTTTTATTTATTGTAGAGACAAGGACTCACCAAGTTGCCCAGGGTGGTCTCGAACCCGCAGACTGAGGCAATCCATTCGCCTCGGCCTCCCAGGTGCTGGGATTACAGGCTGAGCCACCGAACCTGACCTAAAGTATTCTTAATAGACTTCACTGGAGTGTAAACATAATTTTTATATGCACAGAGAAAGTAGGAACTTTGTGTGGCTAGCTTTGTTGCGGTATTCGCTTTATTGCTGGGTTCTGGAACTAAAGCCACAACATCTCCGAGGCCTGCCTGTATATATTCAACTCATTCTCATGGAGAAACAAAAGGCTCCTATTGGCAGCATGGAGCTTCATCCCAGAGGTGAAAAGGAGAATATTATTCTTTCTGGGAAAGTTGGCCACGGATTTGTAGGTGAAAGAAAACGTTAAAGTTCTGGTTTTTAAACTCAAAACTACCTGAATGGAACCGGCTCAGAGCACAGACCTACCTTGGCTGGAGTTCTGCAGAATCCTTGTGGTGGTACCTTGCTTAGACACAAGCAGTCTGATCTCTCAACCCTGTACCAGCAAGTTTCTCTGTGTACTTGGAATTATTCTAAGCTTAGCAATTCAGAAGGCATTGCCTGAGTTAACTTACATTCTGAAAGACAGATTACACAGAAACAAATACATGATAAAAATATAAGCTTTTTACATTTTTCTCCTGCCATAGTGTATGCTGTTCTATTAAGCATCTTTGGGTTTCTTCAGAAACCTGGCAAGGATATAGGCCATTGAAAAGTCTTAAGAAAAAGCAGATCTCAGTTTGAATACTGGCTCTTCTGTGTACAAGCAGGTGACTTTAGGGAAGTTATTAATCCTCTTCAGGCCTCAGTTTACATGGTAGTTATAACTGGAGATTGATTCCTCCCTCTC